AATTCCCATTTACGGGAGCGGTTCCTCGTGTAGAGTCGATGCTGGCTCCGATAACCCTCCGGAAATATAACCCGACATACCGAGATCATTTTAGGTTGCCGAGAAAATCACCGAAGACGTTTTTCTCGAGTCTTGGGAAACCTAACGCAATGATCTTCGCCCCCTCGATCGGGTTCCATTGAATTTCGAAACGTGGAACCGAGCGCATTCGAGGGGCCACGGATACCGGGGCGTTAGCCGACGCGGTTACGGCCAAACTTCCGGTATAATACGGTGTAGATATTAAAAACAAAGGCTGCCTCTTGCAGGGCATAACATGAATATAACGCCGTGCAATATCTTACAGCTTAAGCTTTGGCTTAGCCATGGACCTTCATGCATTATGGATTTTACTTTGAGATGCCGCGTGCTCCCGAACGCTGGAGCTAAGAAACCATGAATATACAATACCGGGCCTCCGCGTGTACATGCATCTATACATATTCCTTCGTCGCGGATTAACTTTAATCACTTTCGAGGGAAACGCCTGAACTTTTTCGGCCTCTCGGATCCGTATCAACGAATTTTGGTTCCCCCCGATACGTACTTTGACGCTCAAAATCACTTTTCATGTTCCCATCTCCGTGGCTTCTAGTTAGAATTGGAGCGGTTGGAAACACTTATCGTAACATATCCGAAGACCATTCCATGTTCGCAATAAATTAAAAAAGTACCTCCTAAAATATACATATCATCCAAAATGATAACGACGAATCCATGATTATCCTCCTACCCTAGTAGCACAAAATATTTGCCCTATATTTTTTATATATTTAACGAATATCGTATATTTTGGAAATATTCAGCAGACATTTGAAACATTTGCAAAACGTTTACTTTAGAATATTATCTCTATAATATTTATATAATATTAGCTCCATGTGTTTTCATCATATTTTTCTATCAGATATACAAAACATTTCGTTTCATTTTAATACAAGTAGTTTTTAAATATTATCTGCCGAATACATTATAAACGTTTTAAAAATATTTAAAATCAAAATCACACGTTTCGCTCCCATAATGAAATAGCGGAACGAAAATATTAGACAAATTTATCGGGTTTTTTGATACCAAATGAAGTGTCCGATAATAGTCGTGAAGTAAAAAATGTATTTTTATTATGTTAATAAGTTAAAAAATATTTCTCTATATGTTTATAAATTATTGAAAGTGTATATGTCATTGAGATTTTTAAGAAATATTTCAGATATCTTCAAATGAAATCTACAAGAAATGTTAAAAAATCTGTCGCTTGAGATATTTAGCAAAGATTACATAGAAATATTTAGAAATTATTCTATGCTACTAGGGTAGATGTTACTCGTCAAGCTGATCTTCGGTTGTCCGAAATGTTTCAGAATAAAGACCTATAAAGTGCAACATCAATTCAAAATATGTATCTCTAGATATCTACATTACCGTTCTATGAAATCAGTATCAATAATTCTTAAACCAAGGCGTTTATTGGCGTTCTCGGAAAATTCCAAATCGCAGCCCGCCACCGCCCCAATTCCTGTCCTTTGCCCCGCATCACCCCCGAGCTGGGCACGCCGATAAATATGGAATTCCCTTTTGGCATATTAACATGTGAATCCCAAGTTCTTTCCTCCCCTCCTGGCCGCCCTCTCGGCAGCTTCGCGCCGGAGTTTTTACGTTTGATCCCCGGTCCCCTCCTCGTCCTCTTCCTCCTCCTCCGGTTCTCCATTCCCCGCCGCCCCTCTTACCTCCGCCCGACGAAGGGTAGTTCTGAGGCCGACGTCATAATCGATCGTCTTTTATTAAACTGCGCCAGATGGCGCCACCGCCACTAGGCACGGCTATGGGGCACGGCGTGGATGGCATGAGGCATGGGGCATGGGGCATGAGCCATGGGGATGGGGCACGGCCTCGGGGATGGGGGCAGTCAGGGGAGTTAAACGGAGGATTCCGACTCCCGGAGGGTGGAGGGCCGAGTGACTGCCGAGGCTGCAGCCAATCGTTTAACGATTACCTACTCGGTCACTCTAGAACGCATTTCAGACGTCATTACGTCTAATCCGCCTCATACCTGCCGATGGTAACGAATTACTTTCTCCTAAGAGACGGCCTACTTGGATACAAAAAAATTGCAGGAATTATTTCATATTAATTGTATCCGGATTTTTAGGGACCGAGATTTTTCTCGGGTACGGGGGTGAGAGTCGTCATTGATCAATTGGGAACTAAACGGAACTTGAGGGGGTCGTTCAACGGAGAAGACTGGTCCCTTATGGGAATTTAGGAGACGTTCGATCGCGCAATGGTATTTCATATGGCACCGTAGATGATCAGAAAGATCGAGAAATTACCCCACTGACATGGGAACTTGGATTTCCAAATTTTGTGTCTTGGTTGTACGGTTAGACCCTCTACTGTGGAAATAGAATTGTATTATAGGAAAGGAGGGAATCTTGAGAGAACTTTCTTCCACCTTTTCTAATGGCGGACCCGGACGTGACGCGACAACCTCGTGAAATTCGGAGAGGAATGGCTTCTCGCTTCTTTTCTATTCCCACCGCATTCTTGGGGATGCGGAATGATCTGATTTTTGTAGGGGTGCGAGTTTGACAATTCGGGACGAAATTGCCATATCATGGGTATGGACACGTGTAAGGACATGGATGTAGATTTGAACATGGGCACGGATTTACCCATTGGTGGACACGGGTTTGAGGGTGGGCGGTGGTCGTGGTGGCGATTCGGATCGAAAGACCGCGTTAGAAAATAAAATCGACACGCGGGCTTGACGGGCCCGACGCTACGTAACGTGGCGATTCAAGTTTTGCCAAAAAGCGTTTGGTCCAGAGGCCGCTTTGTTACTTTTGTTGGCTCCAGTCCTGCCTGCCGTTGACGGGACAATCAATCACCGCCGCACCGGTAGGCGTAAAACGAAACGAAGGAGCCGGAAAAGTCAAACCCCGTTCACACCGATCTTAAGGTGAAGTGAAACCCCCTTCAAATCAGTCGATTCGAATACAACACTTTTTTTTTAAGGGTATTAGACCAAACTGTCCGAAACTTCATCATCATCATCGTTGTCCAACCAAAACCACTAAGCCTAGAAACGGCAAATTTGGGAGATATATTCTGTTCCTACCTAGGTGCTCATTAAGAAGAGGTCTTTCGAAATTCAACTCCAAAGGGGGTAAAAAGAGGTAAAATGTGTTTTTACAAATTCTTTAATATCTCTCAAGCCCGCCAAAATATCGACTTGGTTTCCACCTAAAAAAAAAGTACCAAGACAAATGCCTGAAAACCATTTTCAAGACCCTGCCGTAACCAACTCCTAAGAAGGTGAAAATAAAAAAAGAAAAGAGAAAAAAGACTAAATCTGGAATTCCACTTGCGCATATCGTCAGTAAAGTTGTCAATTTTTGACAATGTCTCGGAATTATTGGCAAAATAAGAAAATACGAGATATTTCGTACTTACCAACGACGCTGCGAAGACGCGTCTAAACGACAGCCGAAAAGGATTAGTTCGACCGAGTAAAATGGACTCCGTCTTTCGACGGAGTCTCGATGAAAGTGTCGGCAGGGTGCGGGGGTGTCAAGTGCACACCCGGCAAATGAAAATTCGGAAGCAGTTTAGGTAAATCAATCCGCGGTGGGGTCAACGATTTAACGGGGCTTTAAGGTAGCGCCCCGAAAACGACAGGGGATGGTCGAGACCGGGGCGTGCGTTTGACGTTGGCCCGTTGAGCGGCGTCGGTAATGCATGGTCTTTAACGTACGAAATAAGGGTGCTGTCTCCGGCCAAGGGGTGAGACGAGGAATCGCGCGATTGGTGGCTCGGTCCGGCTCCTCGGATTCGATTGGACACGACCCTGAATGAGGAGAGCGTACGCGCATCGAAACGCCACCGAATCCCTCAGGGGTAGTTTAGGGGTAGCTCAGGGAGCATTACTTACTCGGCGGAAGTGCGTCGGAGGGTGGTTAGATCACTCGGCGAAAGGAAATCCTATGAGGTCTCCTCTAAGAGGGGATCTCCTTTTCGACCCTGAAACGAGAGAATGATTATTCATTGCACGCCTCTTTAAGGTGAAGTGAAACCCCCTTCAAATCAGTCGATTCGAATACGACACTTTTTTTTAAGGGTATTAGACCAAACTGTCCGCAACTTTGACACGTGACTCGTGATCATCTAAGAATTGTCCTGACACCAAAAGAACCGATAGCAAAAATCTTTCTTATCGTACAAAAATTTCCGTTCGAGCTTAAGGTGAAGTGACGCCCCCCTAAATCAGTCGATTCGAATACAACACTTTTTTTTAAGGGTATTAGACCCAACTGTCCGAAACTTTGACACGTCACTCCTGACCATCTAAGAATTGTCCTGACACATTAAAAATTTTGATTTTTGGAAAAAGTTTTTTAACTTATCTCCAGACCAGACCCAAAATGCCGTCGAGCTCTCATATTTCGATCGATATACAATTATCGAAGACTCTGATATGAGAAACGAAAGGGTCAGGACAATTTTACGACAATTTAGAACACTCTGGTAATTGATGCACTTACATTTGAACGGGATAAAGGCAGAAAAAGTGTTGTATGCGCTTCTATGCCAAAACGGTGGGAATACAAGGTCTCGGAGTGAAAATTTAATTGACCTGGAAATCATCGATAGTTACATCTACGTTCAATACAATTGCAAACATTTTTGCCGTTAGTGCAATTATTATTGCAGTAACAATGAAAGTTTATTAGCGAAGCTGTTCTTAGTTAAAAATACAAATATCTTTTTTTTCCGTGCAACCAAGGAATAAATCCGGTGAAACAGCCATGTTTACAATTTTCTTTTAAATCACCTGTTAACTTTTTTTTTTTTTAGCCGTGTTAATTTAAGTTCTGGTTTCCCTTAACATTTCCCAAGAACCAGGGTCGAAAACGACGTCGCGAGAAATCTATATTTAATATGAAAAATGGGTATTGTTGCAGGTAAAGATATGGTTCCAAAATCGTCGCATGAAATGGCGGAACAGTAAGGAACGCGAATTGCTGGCACACGGAGGTTCCCGAGAGCAAACCTTGCCGAACAAGAACAACCCCAATCCGGACTTGACCGACGCCGATGGGGACGGGCTGAGAATGGATTTGAGCGATGCCAGTCCATTGAACAGTCCTCGGGGCACAGAAGTGCACCTGGACAACGAGGATGACGAGGAAATCAATGTCACGTGATAAAATTTAATGGGGATCTACGCCTAAGAGCGAACGACCATTGACGAGTTCGCTGCGACGTGCGAATTGATTTCCAGGAATCGATCGACAACTGACGTCGCATTGACAAGAATCGGGGATAAACTCTAATAGCTAAGAAATCAATTGGTCTCCTTTCTTGGGATATCGACGAAATGATCGATGGTCATTTATCACCGGAATCGAACCGAATCACCTCGTTCCATCGAATCCTGGTTTCCCTATGTTGTCTGAAGAGAAAATACAATGTTTCATTTAATAATTTATCCGAGTAAATGTTACCAGATATGTCGACTGTATAATTGGGATTGAAAAATGCGATTTGGATGAGCTGTTGAATTATCCCTCGATTATATGGTGATTCAGTGACTCGTGCGAATCGCAATTCGAAATTAAATAAGTATCACTTTGATGAGAATTATTAAATTTTATTTAATAATTCTCTTTAATTATTAAATTTGAATTTCGTCCCGAAGATTCGACTTGAAGCCGATTAGTATTATTGGATCCGTGGATTGTTCCGTTTTGTGCATTTGATGATGCGGCGCATAAGCAACCTCCGTTACCGACACACTCGAAGTCAAAGTATTCGTGTAATTAAGGAGAGTTGTATCATATTGTAATTAGTACTCATTGTAACTCGGCAAGGTCTTATGAAATTATTGAAGAAGGTGATTCTGGGTACGGCCAAGGTGATTATGTCTAACGCTAACGTAAGGGAGCGAAAACCAAATGTAATTAATCATCGTGATATATTATAGTTACTCTACATGTAATATAATGGAATAAAAGTGTCTGAGCGAAGATATATCCCACAGTCGTTTTTAATATAAAAAAATTAATGTAATTTCATGCCTGATTCAATCAGACCGTGATATATAAATTAATGTTTATAATTTTCTTTCTTTTTCCTAAACGTAAGAAATTTGTTTTAAATGACTCCAGTATAATTATTTATTTTCCTTTTATGAAATATCAGTAGTTTATAATTTGCAAGTGAACCCGAAGGTAACATGAAGCAGATTAAGAAATATTTCTCTGTCTACAAAATGATAAAATATGTGCCTTGATAAATTCAAATTTTCGAACATCTAAGCGACAGAAACAATAATTAAAAAGGTCCTCATAGCGAAAGTATCTTTTTGAGGAGGGTAAATCAAGAAATGGATAACAATCTTTTCTTTTACACGGTACTTACATGTGATTTAGCAAAAGTTACTGTTTTTGAGTAAAGTGTAACAACTGTTGCAACAAATTTCCCGAGATTCAAGCTTCGCCGCCTGGGTGAGCCACTGCATGGAAGGAAACATTCAGCGCCATCTTCCGGACAACTGAGATCCTACGTTACCGACGTCTGTTTTCTATGGTCGGTAAACATTCTGTAGAGATCTCTGCATTCTGCAAGTAGTTTAACATATCGAGGAGAGTGCTAGATATTTTAATTGATATGCAATTTTATCACGGGAGCATTACAATTGCAATATTTCAGTTTCCCAATTCTCTCGGTTCATGATCTTTTTAATGGAATACCTACGTTATTACAGTCGATAATAAGTTCCCTAATGTCGATAAAAAATCTATAGGAATTGCTTAATAATTAAGTAATTGTTTGAAGCAGCAGGAATGCAATAATAACTTTTCGTAGGTAAAACAATAATATTTATAACAAAGATATGTAAAACTTATTCACATCAAATGTGCAATATGTTGAACCAATAAAAAGTTCGAATTTTGTATTTTTTTGTTTTAAACTGCAGCTAAGTACACCTCCTTACATATATATCATTTCACTAATAAATTATCAGATGACGAGTCCTTGAATCGTTGTTCTTTACAAAAGAAGTAACAAAAGACAAAGACGGGTTCAAAACGGATAATATCCTGGTTCAGATGATGTTTCCCTAACGGCAAACAGATTAATTTTTAAGAACAATTTGAACAGAGAAGGTAACACCCTTGGTAACTGACGAACTATAACATCTACAAATACATATATTCTTCCTAGTCAATTCCTGAAAAATAAACGTTTTAAGCAACATTTTTCAGCATTTTAAAATAAATGTCAATTAGTAGTATTTACCTAACTCTTACATTTAATTCTGCAGTTATGCTTTGTCAACCGGTGGCTGCTCTTTATAAAGTTTCCGCAATTGTTGATTCATTGCTTCTTTCATGTTTCCATAAAGTAACTTGCCATTTGGATCGAGAACAGATTCACTCCCGGAGCTTGTTAACGGCGTCTCATTTTCCAAGTTTTCATTCATTCCTTTGCTCCATTTCTTCAACCACTCGCCAGCGTCCTTCTGAAATCAGAAATTGAGAAAATTAGGAAAGAGACTTTCACTCACCTGCTCCATATCTTGTAAACCTACGGTTACGTTTATTTTATGATTTTGTTTACATGGTCTTTCTTTTCCTTTTTATCTTCTTCTATTTGCGGCGTTTTCTGCAATTTCTCATCTAGTATTCCGATCCTCTGTAGCTCCTCCACTTTGCGCTGTAGTTGGTATTTCGCAACAGCTTTTGCCCAAGGACCCAGTTCTCCTCTCATGGCGGCACTGAGCATTGCCTTGAAGCAGAGTAGAAAAAGTAATTAAGACCTGATATGTCGCTAGAACAATCGAAAGACCGGCTAAGAAAAATTGCACTCTGACGGCCTTCGAACTGAATTTTAATGGACAATAAATATTTTCTCTACAGGCAGTAATGCCTATTCATTTAACGAAAAAATCAAACAAATTTAGTGGATTATTTTTTAAATTGAAATAATACATTTTTAAACTTAAAAACGTGATAAATATCACGTCACAAAAGTTACCGCAATAGCAGTAATATCTTTGAAAGTTGTCAACTCATATATATATGTGTAATGATTTAACATTGCACTTTACATCTTTCAATTTTCTTTATAAAGTACGTAGAAGGCGGTAATAAGAAATGTATATAAGGAATTACTCAAATGATATTTTAGAGTGTAGACATTTTTCTACTAATCGTCCTCGTGGCATTGACATGAATAATTTCGATATGAATATAAGAATTGAAAAATCTAATGTTACATTTCTTCTCTTTTTTGACTCCAAAGTGCCGATCGGCTCGGTCTCCGTTTGAGGACCTAATTCCAGGAGAACCTGGAAATCTGCATGTTGTCCTAATCTGAAACCCACGCCGATTCTAGAATCCGTTCCTATTTTGAAAAAAGAAATGACAATTAATGACGCATTTAAAAGGAACAACTGAAGTTGAATATTTCGATAACGTAAAACAATTGGTTGACTCATGCATAATTATAACGCATCCACCGAGGTCGGTGAAAGGACCGTAATTTGTACAATTATACTAAACGGCCCAAGAAGCCCAGGAAAAGACAGTTTTTCTTTTTTAATATTTTGCAATGCGACCTCTTTTCAAGAATTGTACCAATAATTGTTTACCAATCGATGTACCATTCCTATCGACTTACCCTTCTTAATCGGGGGAATGTTGGAGTAAATTAGCGATAGGATTGTTGGCAGTTCCTCAGGAATGATCAAACTTGTCACACCTTAAATAAATAATTAACTAGGTTAAGAAGTAAGTAATAAATAAAAGATTGATGCTATCTCATTTTATATGTATACTTTATAATTAGATTTTTGAGGATAACTGTTACAGATTGTAATCATAAAAAAATGTATCGGGCGACGAGTTAAAGGTAAAAGCACAACCCATTAAATCGCGCCCATTCAGGAATTCCTTTTCTCTCCAATTGCTTAGCTTCGTTGTTGCGCGATGTCCACATCTCGCAAAGTAGGCGAAGGCCAAAAACATAAATTAAAATCTACTCACAGTCATAGAAGAGCAACAGAGCCGCCAGTTGCGTGGCGATGACCTTCGTGGTCAACATCGTGTAAAATGTCGAATTTCACTTTTCTTCAGTTACACGCCTCGACCACGCATTGTTTCCTTCTACGTCGTCGCCTGTAAAAAGGGAAGTTTTGTTAAAAACACTTCTCGAAATATGACAATCGAAAAGAGAAAAAACCCTTCCTGATTTGCTTTCAACAAATTTATTCGTATTCACGTTAATATTCCAAAAATACTATCCTGTTGGGAATCTTTAATTTTCCACTTCTTCAGTGTCAAAAATTCTATGACTTATAATAAAATATAATACTTATTGCAATAAAATAAAATTATTAAACTGATTTTTAAAGTATCATTGAATCTGCGTTATTCTATTAATGCACATGTATACTTCACGTCCGTGCTTTCTGACGTGTTTTAACATTGCAGATGACTTTTTTAAGTGCTTCGATAATATTTACACGATACAGTTTCTTTCATAATTAAAAGTGCATCAAGATGGGAACGATCCAACAATTAAATCGAGATTACGTATCATACACTTTATGCCTATATCGAACTCTATACGATAGAACTGATCGTGACGCTTAAAAAGATGCAAGTAAAATATTATTACATATAAAAACTTATAAAGTACGTTTCTTAAGTCGAGTCTAAAGCGGTCTTAGAACGTAATGTTGTTGCACGTAACGCAATGGTTTGCGGAATTACGCGAGCGTGATGCATTACGCAACAGCGCGTAAATACAATTTTTTTTTACCCCCTTCCAACTAATCATAGTACAATGAACAAGGCATGCAGTTGCCACTAACGTGCAATTAGTTCCACACGCCTAGACAATTAAACAATTTCACTTGCAATCCATTAATTTTTCAGCAATTTAATTTTTAAACGCCCTACCGAATTTTTATTCAACCAACGACGTCGGTTCAATCTAATAAATACATAATATTTCGCAAGAAAGAAAGAAAAGATCGTAACATCTTCCAAATGAGTTTGCGAAAAAAGTCCACTTTAAATCTTTCAACCAATACTAAAAGTGAAGGAATTATATTTGTACGTCATGGAATCGACTTTTGACGTTTAAAAATTGCATCGTCGTCAACTTTAAAGAAGAATAATTTTAATTTTATTAAATGTATATCTTCAATCGCTCTTAATAATGAAATCAGATATCCTCATGATTTTAGTTCCCGTGACTCGCTGCCCGATATGCGAACTTTCCGAGCCATTCGATGCTTCAATTTCGAGAGAAAATTGGAGTTTAACCGGCAAGGAGGCAAGAAACTAGGGAACGAAATGTACCCTTCTTTACCGGTATCCCGGATAAGCGGCGGTCGGTGGTTTTTCGACGACTGCCAGTCCCGTAGGTTCAATTGGCTGTCCGAAAGGCCGGTGACCGAGGGGCGGACAGTTTCTAAGGTCTCATCGGTGTAAGAAGAAACTTTCTCGGGCGGAAACCCGCAATCGGTGTGCTCGATTTGCGGAGAGGTTGTGCGAAAGTGAAGCGGACTTTATCGGAATAGAATTACCCGGATCCGGCCATGCGACGTTCCGGCGATCGTCGATGGACTGACCGAGCTGTCCCCAAGTCCTGGTGGCATGGAAAGGCCGGACACAGAAGCGCGAGACTAAGTTTCAAGTGAAAGGAGTCTCGAGAATCGGGGATCGAGGATCGAGGTCGGTGCCAACCGAGTGCGTGACTCTCTCCGGTCCCCACCCGATAGGGCTTAGTCTCTCCATGCGTTTCTACGCCGATGGAGATATGACTTTATGAATGAAAGTCACCTGCCCGGAGGTTCAAAGGACATCGACCAGCCATCTGCGAATATGTTTCAAATGGGAATTAGATTTCTAATGAAAATAAAGAAATATTTTAGAAAGTGTTCATCGTTCCGACCTCACGTGACGTACCATCTCGATGCGTCCTCTTTCCCTGCACGCAGAAAAATAATATTGTAATCATTACATATGCTCGCGAGTCAAAGTATTGTTGGTACCTTAACAACAATTATTGTAGATGTAATTACAATTGAAGGAAATATTGACAAGGCAAAATGATGGGAGGTCCATGGGCGGGCCTATTCCAAGAATCATGGGCAAGGAAACGCGAGCATGTTTAGAAGATATGAGCATTGCCTAAACAATTGATACGGCTAGACCAAGACGGTCCCTACGAACAGTGGACGGAACGGCACTTGGTCGAGGATCGCAGAACGGAACGCTTGAATCCATTTTATATACGTCTCCTTTTTGAACAATAAGTCAATTGATATACCTGTAAATCTACAAAATATAGACTTGTCAATAGGAGGTTCGCCTTCGGTAATTTCTCCTCTTACACAATTTTTTGTCCTTTTAACGATTGCGACTGTAGCACCAACTGTAGAATTCTTGTAAATAAATTCTAGTTATATTTGCATCTGACAGTGTTACGTGTATAACATTGGAAAGTAAAAATTACACGCATGAAGGTACATGTAAAAATGACCATCAGAGTTGTAAAATTTAAAAACAAGAACTCTATTGAAAACCGTATAATATACCGTAGCACTAGTAATTTTTACAAGCGTGAACTGTTATTGTTCCTATTGTGCGTTTAAGACACAGCGTGAGAAACATTCGGGTCGTGACATGCATTAGTTGCGTAGTCCTGCGAACTGTTAGATTCATTATGACTTTGGTAGCATCATCACTCGGTCCTCTTCGTAATTCCATTTTCGATGTAATTTAAGATCGAGTTTTGCTTTTTCAATTCATTGTAATAGTTTGATTAAGTGACCACATGGATGACTTTGTAAAAAATGAACTTCAGGAATAAAGGTTAGAAAACCTATAACAATCGTGCCAAGGTAAGCTTTACATAAAACAAATATTTACCGTTTTCAATGTATTATATCTGTAGTGATTTCCCGAGTTCCCGACAGGAAAGGATACCGTTTCTAATGATACTTTTTACATGCAGCTACGGCAACATATATGTACGTTTGCCAATGGTAGTTTTTACATGAGCTGACTGTAATACACACATGTTGCTATTGTATTTTCTAGCTACCCCAACGGTAATAAATGCGTTGCTGCACGTTACTTTCTACATGTATCAACAGTAAAGGGTACACTAGTGAACGTTATCATATACATACGTTATGTGGTAACTATTGCTTCAGTTGACGAATTTATGCTGTCACGATTGTAAATATAACTGTCGTATTGTTGTAACTGTAATCATTATTTGTAATAATGTGTACCACAGTGAAATTGTACATTTGATAATTTAGCAGAGTAATCATTACTTTGTAGAACCGCTGTCTTTATATTCATCAACGATTGCTGTTAAATCTATCCCAATTGTAGTAATTATAACAAGTTTTTTCTCTCCGTGTGCCGATGTATGAAAGTGTGTAAGGTTGTTTCTCTGTCATCAGATTTGCAGTAGTGATTATATTTGGAATGAAAATTACTCAATGTTACAGATATTTTACATGGTCTCCACCTCATGATGCATAACACCACGGTTCAGTGCTTCTGCAATGATGCTGGAATAACTACGTGAATGAAAGTTATTAGCCTGGGGCCCCAAAAAACGGCGATCGGTCATTCCCCTGTGATCGGATTTACGGTAGGAATTAAATTTCAAATGAAAATGAATAAATGTAACAGATATTTCAGTTTGTCCTCAAGGGGGTCGTACTATGTGTCGAGTCCAAAAAATCAATTTTTTATTTTTTGGCTAAATTGCTTCCAAATCATCCCTACAATATGTCTGTAAAAGGATTTCCCCGTATTCGAAGTCGCTAAGAAGTAATAGCCGTTTAAGGCGAGTCATAATTATCTTTGTGTAATGCGTACTTGAACTTTCAAACGCGTTTTTCTCAAAACTACATTTTTCAAATTGGCTGTCAAGTTTCAGAAAAGACTACTGAATCGATAGCGCTCAAATTTGAATGACATGTTTAGTAGACACGTAGTTACATCTGGTACCAGAATCTTAGTGATATTTATCGTATTTTTTTTAGCTTAAGCTAAATTCATCGAAAAAAATACGAAAATTTCAAATTATTTTAAAAAACTGGCTCAATTTTTTAATTTTCAAATTTTTGACTTATTTCTGGTATCAGTTATAGCTACAGGTCTATAAATTAATCATCAATTAAATTTGTTGATTTTAGATGAGGAAAACAGCCGGAATCGTGGCAGCCATTTCACTACTTTTTTTACAGCGGTCTCTTTCGGGAGCTCTGCCCGTGAAAAAAAAGCAATATTTTTGCTTAAAAAAAATGTGTGTGGTTTGTTTAAATACAAGTACATATGTTGTAAAAATTTCAATTATGTGTAATTTAATGATCCACAAAAAAAATCCCGAAAAATGTGTAAAAAACTGGCCATCACATAGTACGACTCCCTTAACTCACTAAGTGTAGCATTTCGAAATGTTTCTCTGGTTTTACGACAGTATAGGACAGACTTTACGATCGAAAGTCATCAACCCGAGGACCCAAAGAACTTCAATCCCTAAGCAAAACTGGCAAATTGGCAATAACAATTATATTTGGACATCATAATTTTTGCATTTTAATTTTTTATAAATTAACGAAGCTGCAACAAATCATGTCAAGAACCAACAAAAGTGTGGGTCACAATTAGGAATGTATGATGAAATTAAGAATTATATGAAGTAAAAAACAAAAAATTTATTAAACATTGGTCAATACACCCCGTAGGACAGCTTGCCCCGGTTTCCCCTACTGTTCTCCTGCGACTTAGAAGCGACTTTATAAATTAATGAAAGTCTCAACTCCGCAGGTCCAAAGGACATCGACCAATCGTTCTCCTATGGTCGGATCTGCGACGAGAAATAAATCTGATAGGAAAATGAATGTTGCAGAGATTTTCTTTCCACGACATTTATTATTTTCAATTATTTTAGAAAATACATTTTTTTTTAATCGTGTAACAGAATATAGTTATACAACTAGTCACTTTATACATTGCAGTGGTCCTTAAAAATAATTTAACTTTTGTACCGATATGTCGAAGTTCGTGCGCTGATGATAAATATAAAGGACACCTAAAAGATATCAGGAATTTTGAATAATCCCCGATAACCTATCAAACGGCAAACACACCTGTTAACGCACCTTATTCATACTGTACACAGGTAGAGTTAATCATATCTTTTCGTAGAATAAGTCCCTATAACCCTTTAAAAATATGTATTTTAACCCCTGGAACTACTCATACTATTCTAATAATCAATATAAATATACCGTTGTTGATCTCATTTTATGTTTAATTCTATAACTAACTAAACCGTACCTGAGAAAATACTCGAAATAAAACTCCCTCCTACATTCTTAACAACATTCCACCATTACATTTATATTTTCCGGAGGTAAATAAAAAATGGTGCCCCATTCCCTAAACGATAACAAAGCATCAGGATCTTCCTAGAACCTCCGCAGAACGTAGGGTTAATTTGAAGGACTTCAGATATGACATTATCTCCGAAATGGAGGAGCGTTACGTCACTGATTCCAAGGTTTCCGGGGTCTCGCGTAATGACCGACAAGTCATACCGAGCAAGACCCGGCTCGGCCAGGGAAAAGGAACCGAGGATCATACGCAGTCGAGGCGAAACGCAGCAAACAGTAAACGCATCACTTTCGACACAATATCCGAGTACAAACGTGTCAACCGACAATTGCGGGAAAACGTGTGGGTGATATCGGTGATAAGCGGTGGACGGTGTGCTCACCTGTGGTCACTCGCGGCCGCGACGCGTACAGGTGTGTACACCGTCATTGCGTACACATCGGCGTGCTCGTTCAAGACCGAAGTAGCGTTAAGCGACTCTTTTGCGCAGACAATATGCAGAGAGTGTGGCCACGTAGAGGCGAAACGAGTACACCTCGTTGAAGTCACCGATTGGCGGGACTCGAGTCAACTTTGACGGTTCCCGGCGATTTTTCCGCTCGCTCTTTCCACTCGGAAAGACCTTCGCTCGACGGCGCACGATTGGTCGGAAGTCGCGAATGCCGATTCCTCGGGTTTCCGACAGAAGACCGTCGGCTATTCTTCGTCATGAGCTGCATTTCTTGTCCAGTGAGTACGCGAAGTGCATCCCGATGCGCCGGGAACGCGGAGCTCGGAAATCAAGCGGTTCCCTCGCTGCACGCGTTCACGAAATCACGCCGACGTGATGGAGGAGCCAAATTCGCAAATTGTCCTAGAAGTCCGCTTCCAAGTCCCTGTCGTAATTTTCTATTTCTTTACTTATCCGTATTGAGACGCCCGAGAGAAGATGATAGGTGATGCAGAGAACGGTAAATCGGTAGTGCGAGGAAAAACTGAAAAACGTGGAACGAGGCAGAATTAGTTTGTCGTGCAGTTTCTTGTGCAGTTCTCAGGGGGGAAAGAGAATAAAAAGATTGAAAAGATCGCCATGTATTTATTATCAGATTCATAGACGGATGTAAAAGGTGATAATTGGTTCGGCGATGTGCGCGCGGGTGACCTTCGGAGATGTATCAACGTTTAAAAATGTTAATCAATAATTATAATATTTAATGGCTGATGTTTCATGACAAGGTGCTAAGTGGAGTTTTTGCTTGTGTTGTCATATTACAGCTGACATTCTAAGTTTTCTTTTTTCTTTTTAATGCCACAGCGAGATTTTGCACAAGAATTTCAGTACATTGTTACGACATTGTCGTAATAGACGCGTAAGTTAATAAGATCTACTTTTTAACAATTTTATTTATTTCGATGCAGAACTGTATGATAATGTTACATACAAAATTCATTTATTCTCATTTTAAGGAGAGCGTAAAATTCTTATATATTTATATGTTCTAATGAGTCGGGAGTATAGTAAAGCCTGTAATTATACCGTAGTCTACAGAATCTAACGGTGGGAAGCACGTGTCCGGTCGTCTTATCGTTATCTTCATATTTCCGCATGCACACGAATAAGCCGACGATAGAAATAACGACGAGGCTTTAAATTTCGATTTGAGTCGGCAATCTTTTTTCCTTGTAGCCGCAATTCGTGTCGAGCAATGTGCGAGAGTGCGGTTATGGTCCGCAGTGCCACGGTCACAAACATTCAGTGAGTTTTTCCTGCCTAGTAATTGTTTCTATGCCATTGAGATTCGTGAACCTTGTTCAGTCTATAGTCTCTTATCCCTGAAGACACGTTAATACGTATTCATTTTTCCGTGCGTGTTGATAAATAGATGATGACAGGATTAATCGTGCCTAAGACTTGCATGTTAAATATGATGACGGAAACGTTCCTCTACCTATAAATAAAACCTATGCATTGGATTAGCAACTAACGATGTCCTGAAATTTTACATATTTTAAACTAGGATTGTTGTTAACAGAATGGTTGGAATCGCTAGCATGATAGAATTTGTTTTTTCATCAACATGGGAAAATTTAATCAATCGAATAAAAATTTGACTTAATATTTCCGGTAAAATGTTAAGAAAATAATTTGAAAGAGTCAGCGGAATATCGTTAGATTTTTTTATTTCCCATTTTTCGTGATAATTCTCCTCCGCTTCGATTCGTTCCCACGTTAGTACTTAGCGTAGGTGTGTATTGCGTTTGTACAACGAGTGTCATTGCACTTAAGAATTTCACTATTGAAAAGACAATGGACGCAATTCTTGGTAGAATAACTGAGCAACCATTTAACACCCAATATTGCGAGGTGGAATCGACTCGTTTTCACTGGGTGCTGGGATTATTCGGTCGATCATAAAAATAACAGGTGGAAATGTTCATTTATGAATCCCACTTTCTGAATAATCAGATAGTTGGACTATTCGCTTTCGATCTGCAAGAGCTATTATTTCACCCCGATCCGTACCCACGTGACTACCGAACGTGGGTGTACATTGCATTAGTTATCATTACTCCTAGCAATTTTCTTGTCACACAAACAATGTACGCATTCCCAGTAAAGATAATTACGCAAGCGTTACAATGTGAAATCGTCAGGTAGAATAAATTCTATTTTCAAATGCGGCAACACCATTCAAATGATGAAAGTAACATTTGATACAAAATTATTATAAAAAATTAAATACACACCATTCCTTGGAAAATACCTAGGGAACCATTATACCGCAAGATTTCAAGATCAATCAATCTTTTTCACTCTTATAATGAAAAAGTTTAATCCATTGCCCAAAAGAAAAGGTTAGAAAGTATTCCTTTGAGAATCGCATGCATTGCACAACGAAATCATTGGAGGCTCTCGTTCAGTCTTTGCCAGAACTATTTCCCCCTGCAATTCATACCCACACGAGTACGAAGCGTAGGTGTACATTACGTCAAGTCCAACGCGTGTCATTGCACCTAGCAATTTTGCCATCGGAAAGACAATAGGTGCGATTCTCGGCGAAATGACCGTGGAACCGTGAGAAGGCGAGATTGAGAGGTAGAATCGATTCCTTTTCCCCGATGCAATGGGAAGAGTCGATCGATTGATCGGCGAGAAAAGAGAAACCTACTACTCAGCTAACCGCTTAGTTGGGAGCGATCAGCTGTTGGGGACACTTTACGACCGGCAAGGATCGGAGCTCGACACAGTTTGCTCAGTTGTTCGTTAACTCGCGGCGAATGTGTGCATTGTGTGGCACCGATACGTACCTGTGAACAAGTGAACTTATTTCCGTGCCCGTATTGCTATGTTACGTGTCCTGACAGTTGTGGCACGATAATGCGAATCGTCTTTTATCGGGCCATTCGATGAGGAGGAAGTGTCGTAAAATCATGCCGGTACCGTGTTCGTTAATCGATCAGGAAGAAACCCAGTAACGAAGTGCCCCGAATCTCGGAGAAGGCTGAATAAAATATAATAATGAAATTAACCATAGGATAAAATGCAAATAATCGTGATAATAACGCTTTACTTTATCGCGTGGCGATGATAAACGTGACCGTGTTTGGGAGGTCCGATGACTTTCCGTGATCCATGATGAGGATTCGATGGGTGGCAATGAAATTTCAGAAGAGACGCAACTGCCGATGATAATTGCTCCAGGTATCGTCATTTTTCGTTAAAAAAAAAAGAAAGAGTTGTTTTAGTTTCTTCGAGAAGGATTTGTACAATTTTTAGGAATCGAATTATTAGAGTTAATATAAAACATACATAAAGTATTCTTTACGTAAATATGTGTAAAATATATTAAAATCAAATAAAAATTAGAAACCGACACAGATGCGCGGCTATTGCTGTCGCAAGTGAAAATAACTGAACTTCACGGATTAATTTGAAAAGTTCCAATTCTTTGGAGATCAATTATACACAACTCTAATAGCACAAAATATTTGTCCTATATTTTCTATGTATTTAACGAATATCGTACGTTTTGTAAATATTTAGCAGATATTTGAAATAGTTGCTTTACAATAGAATATTATCTCTATAATATTTATATAATATTAGCTCAATGTGTTTTCATAATATTTTTCTACCAGATATACAAAACATTTCGTTTCATTTTAATAGAAGTATTTTTTAAATATTATCCGCCGAATACATTATAAACGTTTTAAAAATATTTAACATCAAAGTGACACGTTTTGCTCCCATAATGAAATAGCGAAACGAAAATATTAGAAAAATCTCCCGTGTTTCTTGATACCAAATGAAGTGTCCGATAATAGTCGTGAAGTAAAAAATGTATTTTCATGTTCACGAGTTAAAAAATATAATTTCTCTATATGTGTATAAATTATTGAAACTAAATATGTCATTGAGATTTTCAAGAAATATTTCAAATATCTTCGATTGAAATCTGCAAAAAATCTTAAAAAATCTGTCGCTTGAGATACTTAGCAAAGATTACAAAGGAATATTTATAAATTATTCTATTCTACTAGGGAATCCTAATTATTTATCTATGAGATCGCGTTTAACACATTTGTATAACAAATGTATGGTATTTTTAAACATATATAGAGCTTTCCTCTTAATTGCTAAAAATGGTGCACCCATCGACAAACTCTGATACTACTTAACTTTAAATTAATTTCACGCATTTCGTACAGTTCACCATTTTAGTTGGTCATCCACAATTGTTTAGCACCGATCTGAAAGAAACATCGGACATTAAATAACCATAAAAACGTAAAGTAATGGTGAATTAATGCAAGACGATCGCGATTTCACCGCGTACTCTCCTAGCTCGATGTGCATTACGGGAAGAAACATTATTGTGAAATTTTTTAGTGAATGGAGAACTTTTTCGGCCGATGGGGCCGAATCCTGTTGGTGGTTGTGGGAGCAGCGATCATGTTGGTTGCAGTGCTCTTGATTGCTTGTTTCTTCACCCCGGGATGTCTTGGATACGAGTGCATTCGGAAGCGAAGTAAGCTCCTAATTGACACCATTTTTCTACTTGTAAATCATTTTCTCGACCGAGCGGTGTCGATTGCGTGCCACGCAGGTGACGGTCTTAAACGCACCTGTCATTGATATACCGAGCTGCCACCCTCGATTCGAGTTTCCACGCACGTTCGTGCCGGTTGCTTCCGTACGCACGCGCTTCTGCGTACGTGAACGTAATATATATTCCGCGGCGGTATTACTGTCGAGAAAACTTAAAACATAATATGTATCAACATGACCACGATCCTCCACATAAAAATGAAATCCAGAGTCCGTCGACAATTTTGATGGAAACATTACGTTGAAAAAATTTGCGCTACGCGGACTTTTACCACAGATACTATGTACAGTAAATGTAATTATTTAATGGAATTTCATGCAGTTCAGCCGCACGACTAGATGAATATAATAGGGTTTGAAATAATTTACTACGAAATATTTGTAAAGTAGAGATAAAAAAGAAACGTTTTCAAAACCGTCCTGGCAACGATAGGTCTACGCGTCCTATGACTAATGAGGACAATGTGAAATTTCGGTACAATAAGTAAATTATAATGGTATTGAGATATTCAAAGTTTAGTGTTTGATCAGCTACCGCATGCAAAAGAATCCGTTTATAATTATCTAAATAAGTCACGAGTGTAAATTGAATACAATAGTTTAACAGAGGAACAAAGTGAGGATTATTTAAACATGATTTATGTATTTTTAATGATGTCGACATTTTTATTTACAATATAAGTAATTCCTCGATCGCGCGTCGAGTACAATCCAAAAGTTCAATTATTTGTCTCGCGCGTTATAAAATTAAGAAGACGTGAAACGAAACTGCATTCCATTATTTCTGAGGTGAAATATCATTGTTGCACAAATTACCGTGAAACAATAAACCGTGCGATTACCGTTACTACAGGTGCGAAAGCGACCTTGTAAATTGCTTCAACTAGAAGATGATATCTGGACAGCAGAAATAGCTGTTACCTAATTGCTTGCTCATTATATTCTAATGACTGCGGTAGTTAGCAATAATCAAAGACAAGAATCGTTAGTAGTTTGATAGCGTTCCGGTTGACAGGTAGCGAAATACCACGTGGTAATTTTAAAAAGGACCTTGAAACGGTCAAACTTCTTATCAGGTCAAGGTCACGGTCATTACTGAACAATAATCATTGGAAAGTCGACGGTTATGTAAGCCGTTGTAAAAAGCGCTTTACCGTTAAAGAATGTTTCTAAAAGAAAATGTACTCCTTGACATTAACTTGGTCGTCTGTTTATTTGTTATACTTATCATTATTGTTGTGAAAATTTAACAGGAAAGGAAAGCAGCGTTGAATCTTCGCGATTGAAAGGACAAAATAAGGAGAATTTGAAACCAACCGATGTGAGCTACAGGTCCTGGCGATTAGGCAGCCTCTACGAGAACAGTAACAATGGCAAGGGTCGAATTTATATTAATTAAAATTATTCCAAGATATTAAAATGAAGTGATATTAGTGAAATAACCTTACTAGTAGATAATTGATCAAATATTTTTGATTTGTCTGAAGGTAGCGTTAGCGAGTGTGCAGAATCTCCAGGAAACACCATCACCACCAACAAGGAATCAAACGAGAGTATTGGCACCGCATTTAAATCGGTATTTATACATTGTTAAATAATTTAACAATTATCACATAGCAGCAGATTTCGTGCAGTGCAATAACGGCATTACGTATATCGAAAAAATTGTGTAACAGTTAATTGTTCTTGATAAAATGTCACCTTCACGTGAACTTATCGAAAAACTCGCAAGAATAATTCTTATGTTTCTCATTTTAATAGAAAGCAATTTCATTACTCTATTGGATGCTTACTTTGCCAGGTGTAAAATATATAATCTCTCAGGAGTCGTACAATACCCTCAGTGGCTGAAGGCTTTTCTACTTTTTTTCACTTGTGACGCAAGCGCTCTGTTTCCACGTAATTCTTGTGAAATACAGGTAAATATGACCCCTCGTGAATTTTAATATTACAGACCTTGGTGCAGCCGGAGAAGCAGAAGAACGAGTCCGCGTTGAGGGAATTCCCTACGGAATTGACGATGAGCCTCCAGTACTTGCCCCCGTGTGGGGAAAAGGTGACGGGAAAGCTCGTAATAGGAATCGAGGTTCGTTTTTTTTCTTTTCTCCGCCACTTGTCGAGCCTTTGCCGCGCCCTTGCATTTCTCCTTGGAGTGAACAGGTGAGCGCGACAAAGGTGTCAAAAGGAACAATGCCGTCAAGGTGACAGCCGTGTTGCAGGCATTGTCCGGTCTTCCGCCGAAGCAGTACAACTGTACTTTGGAGCCTTACGTCGCTTTGAACATTGTCAAGCAGTCCTGGTCCCACAGAAGGAGGCAGAAATTGCACAGCTTTAGGACGAGGAGCATTAGGCACTCGGCTAGCCCAATTTATAGAGAAACTTTCGTCGTGGCCGACGCCAAGCCACTAGAAGTTAAGGTGATTGAACAACTTTAAATAAACTTACTGAAATTCTGTCCCGTTCATTCGAGACGAAAATACAGCCAAGTCTCGCAAAAGGTCGAGAATAAGTGAAACTTAATTACCGTGAAAGCACGCCCACTCGATTAAGGTGAAGTGAAACCCCCTTCAAATCAGTCGATTCGAATACAACACTTTTTTTTAAGGGTATTAGACCAAACTGTCCGAAACTTTGACACGTCACTCTTGATCGTCTAAGAATTGTCCTGACACATTCAACATTTGGATTTTTAGACAAAATTTTTTAACTTCCCAGACCAGAACCAAAATGGCGTCGAGCTCTATATTTCGATCGATATACAATTATCGAAGGCTCTGATATGAGAAACGGAAGGGTCAGGACAATTTTACGACAATTTAGAACACTCTGGTAATCGATAAACTCGCATTTCAACGGGATAAAGGCAAAAAGTGTTGTATGCGCTTCTATGCTAAAACGATGGGAATACGATGTCTCGGAGTGAAAATTTAATTGACCTGGAAATCACAGATGACAGGGTGTCCCTCTGCAGTCAATTAGGGCCCCAGAAAGCATGAATCTAGAGGATTTCTGGAGTTTTACTTCGATTTCTTGATATTTATTGTACGAAAACGACAGGTGGAGTATGCCATTTCGTACAATATCCAATATAATTCGACCCAGCTGTCAATATAAAAACGAACGTCGGCAACGTAGGCATTTAGAAAAATTTTCTTTATCGACGTCGATCAAGTTCCTCGACGTGTTTCACTTCACCTTAATTGGATGAGCATTCATACGAGTGGCGATGGAGAAGCAGCAATCGATCACGAATTCGGCAGCCTATCGGCGATATGGTTCTATTAATAAAAACAGTATTATTAATTGTCATATGTGGTTTATCAAAGAATGGGCGTACCTTCGCAAAAATTACCTTGCACTGGACATTTTATAAAACTCATCCTCGGTATGTCGACACAGTAATGGATAAAGTTTACGTATTACAAATTGTCGATGATTAGGAGATTCCCCGATTCTGCTAAAAGAAGAGATTTTGGTTTATTTTGTATATGTCGGTTATTTAGGTCGGTTGCATATATTCGGTTTATTTTATATATTATATATATGGGGTTCGAGAAGAAATATTATTGGAAATGTACATTTAAAATGTTGTTCACTTTTTGAGGTCAATGACGTAAATGGCGAAACAGAATAATCATGGGCTAGAGAATGCCCGAGGTTATGTTAAAATATAATCGACGAAAGGGAATGTGAGCTACTTGTTCTTTAGAGCCGACTGCTGGCATGCAAATGGATTTTAGCTGCTATAGTTATGGATATGCATCGTAATCTCAGAGTGTATCCCTCCTTGCTCGGCCTACATATTACGCTTAATTGGAAGTTTCTAAGTTTTCAGTAGACTTTTACGGTAGCGAAGTCAAGGCACTGTCGACTGCATAATTTATTGACGAGAGAACGGAGTGCCTGATAGTAGATTCACGCGTTTTGGTTTATACACGAGAGTGAAGCCGGTTGCTAATGCACAGGGTTATTCTCCGTTCATGAAGCTCGAGTGTAAGAGGATTATAAAATATTAAAATGTTCACAGGAATGGATTCTGGATATCACAGCTCACGACCAGGATCGCTATGCGAATCATACAGAATTGTGTGCGCTAAAAGTACCATTAAAGGAAGTGAAGATGATTTTTGCTAGTCCAGAGATACACTTATTCAATTATAAAATGAAGCCTTCCTATCAGGTATGAAATTAACGCTATAAAATATCTAACGGCATTTACGAATTATTCTTATATTTATTATTTCTATTTCATCACGTTATATCGTGCAATTAATGATTCTCAGGAGTACGGCAAGATTTTACTAGGAGTAATTTATTTACCAACGGCCCAGAAGTTAACGATCAATGTCATGAAGGCGTGTGATTTGAAATTCCCGTTAACTGTAGAGACTATACAAAATTTCAGTAAGTTTAAATGGACCGATCGTAGCAATCCCGCTTGAAATAATAATTAATGGCAATTCATTTCCGGGACTTAATAGCGTTTACTAATCTACAGATCCCTACGTGCGGATTGTCATGCTGAACGGAAAGCTTGGGAGAAAAATAAAGAAAAGGAGAACGAAATCTTTGCACGCTGCTGCCCAACCGGAGTTTAACGAGACGCTGACTTTCGACATAAATCGCGATCAGCTCGATTTGGTGCAATTTCTCGTTGTTCTCTGTAGCAAGGTAAGCGGCACTAAAAATGGAAAATTGTGTATAGCTTCGAGTTAATAGACCGGCACTTATAGTAGGAAAGCTAAGTAACGCGTTCGATTAATTAATAAGATAACTCTGCATTTAATAACAATGACGATAACGAAAGTAACTAGTCGAATGTATAAATTGGATCCATTTTTGCCTATTTTCTGTTCTATTTTGCCACAAGCATGAAACGATCACAATTATAAATGTTAGGTTTCAAAAGCATTATTCAAAGTACACGTCGGAAGCCAATGTTGACTTTCTATTTGAAAATTCAATTAAACTTAGCCCCGAAACCGTGAAAATTGCCGAATTTGGGTCACACGAAATGTCACCTGTCTGAAGTATCACTCCCACGTGGAGGAAGTTTTTCCAACTTTTTTTTCTCACGCTCAATACCATTTGCCTCTCGTTTTCAGATCTCGGTGGAAGAATCTACTAACAACGAGCAACCGAGCGACGATGAAGGATCCGTGAACTCCTCAAAACGGTCTCCAGATGTTTTTATTGGAAAAGTTGCTCTTGGCAAAGGGGTCAGGGGCTCCACGGAGAGGCTGCACTGGTTTTCCGTCCTGCAAAATCCTAGAAAATTAGTGACGGTTTGGCACACGCTGAAGTGAGCGATTGTGTACACGCGAGAACCACAGTTGTATTCACAATAAATCGTACCTTAATCATTTCGGTTTATCACCTTGAATCAGTAAACAACGTTCTGTTTGCGATGGTATAGTATTTATTAAATTTCGATGCTGCAAACGTTTCAATTGCAAAGATTTGAAGTTAATAAACATTTCTAAAATTGCAAGGGTTTTGAGAGAAACATTGCACAGAACGTTTCCGTCTGTACCTTGATAACGATAATCGCCTTTGAGGGCACCTCAGGGTCAAGAAACATTAGGGAATAAAGTATAGCTATATTCCATTTCCATGTCCATTACAATTAAAGGTATACTAGACTACCTAATAGATTATTTATAATGATCGCCTAGGAATTAATACATGTCTCGAATATTGCAAAATGACATTTACACGCTAGGAATAAAATCAAGTATATGGATTTAAGAACAACAGATTACTTTTAATATGATCAGAGAGCTGAGACGATACATGCCGAAAGGGCATATAAGCATAATAAGACATTTATGCTGTAACCATATAGCAATACAATCAATAATCAATTTACCACCTAATCTCTCGCTTCCGTGAACCCGAAACGTTTCCCTTCATGGTTTAACAATAAGCGTTCCAGCAACCCCGCAAACTCGAACTGAATATTCACCTATACTCTCTAGAAAATACAAACAATAATTCGCCTTCAAACCCACGAATAACGGCCGGGATTTAAATTTCCTACCGGGTTGGCGCCAGCTGCGCGTCGGTAACGTTAGTTCGGGCCTCGTCCGCGAGATGGCGCCACTCTTAAGATAGCGTCGGCTCGGGCTCCGCACGGTAGCGGAGTCGCGTTCCCCGGCCAGTGGTGGCCAGTCCGTGGCGGTCTGTTGTGTCGTTGTGTGGTTAACGGGCGCTCCGTCGGCGCGTCGGGTGTTCGTAGTGTTTTTCCCGTCCCGTGTCTTCCCTCGTGGTCTTCGCAGAGTTTCCCAGGTGTCCCGGACGCAGAGACGGCGACCGTGTTCCAGGGATCGAACCTACGTGAGTAAAAACCGCCTGTCAGTCTCGCGACTGCCCGATCCTCGACTCGCGTTTCGGCGCCGTCGCACGGGGTAACGTAACCTGTAAATCGTGCGCGCACTGCGCCGAGCGGCTGCTCCGCGGCGGCACGGTGCCCTGCACCCACCTGGTCTCGTCAAGCCACCGCGAGATCGGCGCGGAGCCCGATCTCGTTACCTAACCTCTCTTCTATCGACCGTGTTTTCTCGCTTTTCCGCCTCGCCTCCGGACGAACCGCTTCGCCGTTGACCCGCGCCCGGAGAGACCGCGGTTTCCGTTAATCGGGGTTATTCAACCGACGTGTACGTCGTTACGGAGCTCGATTTTCTCGCCGAGAAAATTGGACCCTTCTTCGTCTCCTTTCGGAGCACGGGTCCACGAGGTCTCCTCTGGCCTATCCTGGTGCTCGAAGGATCGCTTCCGTCCACTTCGATCACTTTCGAGGAAAATTATTTCTCTACCTCCTATCGTTAATATTAAGGACTACATTGAAATGTCTGGCCTTTATGTTAGTACCTTAACGCGAGAAATTGATATATTTAAAAACACGTTTCCAAGGAGAGTACTTGAATTTCGATTTGCATTTACGCGTTTCATTGAGCCCGTCTAGTGATTCCTGGGATGCTTAGAGCAAATGTATCGTTTCTACTTTTATTTCTTTATTTTTATTTCTTCATTCCAATCGTTCGTTTTCGGCATTGAAAGAAAATTTTGCAGGTTCAAGCGTTAACGCGCATTTATTTAGGGAGGACGTAGTCAATATTTTTAAGGGTATCGTTTCTTCATTGACGCTGTGGGAAGAAAATTACTCTGCCTTATTTTTCTTTTTTTAGATGTAATTATCGATTTAGTGTTAAGGATTGGGCTGGAATTCCTCACTGGCTTGGATAACGGATGAATTATACATTCCGGGAAGGACCGAGAGGGACGGTGCTGACGCGACTTGGCTTTTCCCGGAGAATGGTCTCCCTGCGCTCCGCCCCGAGGATCCCGAAGGAATAAAAATAAAAAAGGACGCGACTACCTGCTCTCTCTAGCCAGGTCTAGCCGGTTTTCGGCTCTCCCCCGGCGGGTGGTTCCCCGGACGGGCGTTCATTCAATTTGTTCCATCGACCGAGCCCGAGATTCCCACGAAGACAATTTACCGAGGGTTATGGTAAACTCTGCAATCTCCGCGGCATCCCGCGGGAAGGTAAACTCCCGATTTGATTTTAGGAACCGCGGATGGAATCTGCGATGTACATCTCTCGGAATTACTATTCCTTACCGGCTGTACCGAGGACGAAATTTCAAATTTCCGCATTCGTTTCCTTGAACGGATGGTAGACCGCAACCCTCGGGATAATCCGGAAAAATGTTAAATTACCTCTCGTAATGTCTGGAATTATCGGGGTAAACGTCCTGGGCAATAACGCCGTTCGACCATCTCTCTTCCTTTTGTTTACGGCCGAGGATTTCTTAACAATATCCCCGTTTATGATTTTATATGGTTTTTCTAACTAATGCGTAAACACCTAACGATTGGGGGATTATACCCGTTTTAAATCTCGAGATTTTTCTCGGTCATATCCTACGGCCATACACTAATTGCAAAGTTGGGATACCTCGAGGGGAAAGGGGTTTAATATGCATTAATAACTAAATACCTAATTTAATACTTGTTAAGGCGTAATCGGGCGTTTAAGTGCTAAGCGTTAACCGGTTATTAGTCTTCTACAGCAGGAACATAATCTCTTTGAGGTGTATTCATGAAGACTATAAATCTTTCCACGATTTCCGTGTAAGTTTCCCTCGGAAAATCTGGATGCTACAGTTTTACCTTCCAGTAACGAACTATATGTCGACCGATTGGATTTCCTCGTTGCGAAGGTTTAAGGTGAAGTGAAACACGTCGAGGAACTTGATCGACGTCAATAACGAAGATTTTTCTAAATGCCTACGTCGCCGACGTTCGTTTTCATATTAACAGCTGTGTCGAATTATATTGGATATTGTACAAAATGGCGTACTCCACTTGTCGTTTTCGTACAATAAATATCAAGAAATCGAAGTAAAACTCCAGAAATCCTCTGAATTCATGCTTTCTGTGGCTCTAATTGACTGCAGAGGGACCCCCTGCGCCATCTGTGATTTCCAGGTCAATTAAATTTTCACTCCAAGACCCTATATTCCCATCGTTTTAGCATAGAAGCGCATACAACACTTTTTTTTCTTTATCCCGTTGAAATGCGAGTTTATCGATTACAAGAATGTTCTAAATTGTCGTAAAATTGTCCTGACCCTTTCGTTTCTCATATCAGAGCCTTCGATAATTGTATATCGATCGAAATATGAGAGCTCGACGCCATTTTGTTTCTGGTCTGGGCTAAATTAAAAAATTTTTTCCAAAAATCCAAATTTTGAATGGGTCAGGAGAATTCTTAGATGTTCAGGAGTGACGTGTCAAAGTTTCGGACAGTTTGGTCTAATACCCTTAAAAAAAGTGTTGTATTCCAATTGACTGATTTGAAGGGGGTTTCAGTTTACCTTAATCTCGGGTTCTATTAGGACGGTTCGGGACGATTATTGGTGTGAAAAAATGATCGAAGGGAAATACCGCTTCACGGCCGTTTATATTCGAAAGCTTTCCTTGGGGAGGATTCCCTCCGTGGGGGCGAAGGGCTTTAACGACGACCCTATGGAGAGGCTTCTCACGTAGCGCGAGAGGGAACGAGTTGCGCGCGCCAATTGTACGCAAACGTTGGCTTTACGAGGTTAACGTTTACCCGCCGATCGATCGAGATGGGCTTCCGGTGATCGGAGGCCGCATCCAACGCCGGCTGCATCCAAGGACGTGGATATGGTCGAATCGATAGCGGCGGTCGTGCGGAGGATACCGCGAGACGAAAGAATTCGTCCCCGAGGATGCAACACGCGTTGCGAACGACCGCGCTTGAAAAATGGAGTACCATGACCTGGAAGCATCTACCAAGGTATTAGGCTCTCAAATATCGGAGGTAATGGATAGTGGGTGTTCTGCCCGGCTAGTTTGTCGGGCAGCTGTATGAATCCCGAGTGTTTTTGCAAGTAGAATTCCAAAATGGGATATTCGTACAACTGCTCTCGCGAAAAAGGAACATATCCGAATAAAGTGGGACTTGTCGGGAAGGAAAAAAAACTTGAATTTATTATAATATTAAATTGACGAATGACTTGTTTAATTTTGTTAGCTCTTCAGGCGTGAATACCGATAACAGTTACAGAAGCGATGGTGAAGGCTGACGAGAGATGGAGACTGACTGACTTACAGAAAAAATACAGGATTCCTCCTCAGGTCGCATTACATTTTTTGAGGAGGTGGTAGCATATTTCTTACATAGCGATTGACTATCTGATTTTAAGAAGGGCGGTTAAAATCGAATAGTCGGCCTCGTGATTGGTCGATAGATGTCCAATACGGTTGGGTGGGAACGGAAAATTTCTAATTGCCGTGGAGATGGATAAACATGCCGTATGCACGTGTGCATGTTGCGCGCACGTGTTAGCGGTAAAGTTAAATAAGGTATTACGGTAAAGTATAGAGACGGTCAACCCGAGGAAATTCTAAAGAACCCTAAACCTTCGCGATGGGACGTACGGGGCAATATAACCGTATCGTAGGATACTGAAATTTACGAACGGATTTCGGAGTAAGGAAATTGCTAAATTGGTAAATGGCCCGATGGGCCTAAGCAGGCAGTAAGTCCCTTTCTGGAAATTTCTCTGACATTTCAAAAGCCGCGGTGAATTTAAATACATGAGTGTCGCGCACGGAACAGTGGGGGGTACAGAGAAACGTCAAAATTATTACCTATTGTACGGTGTTCGAAAATTCATATCATTCTCTGATGAACACCCTAGGCGATAGTCATATGTGCCCATAATTATGAAAGTGGTCTAAGTCAAAATTGAAAAAAAAAAAAATGAGTTTATC